AAGATTAAGAAATAGATAGAAAAAAAGAAAAAGACGAGCCAATGCAGAAGTAGGAGTAGAAATTTGTAAGGAGGTAAAAATACAGGCAGACACTCCCAAAGCGAAGGAAAAATAAAAGTTAAAAAAATGGAAATAGAAGCAAAAGTCAAAGTAGGCAGCGAAATGGACGCAAAGGTGAAAATGAAGACATAGAGCCATGGGTAGTGAGTGGCAGAAACAAAGATCGGTATAAATTTGGTTATATTAAACGCTGGCTCCGCCCCTATTTTCAATATAGAAGGACACAGTACAACAACCGACGTAACTATATCTTTCGCAGATCGTTACACGCATTAAATTGTGGCAGATAGTGAAACCTTAAGTGATCTGCAATATATAATAAATTACGCAATATATAAAGATAACGAGGCAGTAGAACAAACATATAACAAGTGAAAAAAAAGTGGAACGCACGCAAGCTAAACCATGAGGTGAACGGAGCAGCCCTGTTAGCCAAAAACCCGTGAAACATATCACACTAATGTGTGCGTGGGTTACACCCACCACACCTTGACGTATATATATATGAGGTGGAAATGCCAAGATTCAGAGATTCTAACTGAAGAAAGAAGCCAGCTTTTGAAGGAATGAAGAAATAAGTCAAATCAAATTGGAGTGTGTAGAAGCCAGAAGACAAGCGACAAAGATCAGAGAAACTCCAAAGCAACTCGAGTCTTGCAGAAATGCGAGGAAGTATCCCAGAGTAGCAATAAAAAACAGTAAACTGATGTCCTGGGAAGTGTTGTGCGCAGACGTAAACAGAGATTCGTGGGTCTTTCCAAACTAAATTAATACTGAAGAAAGTTGGCTGCGATAAGCTTATACGAGGAATCACAGATTCTGACTAGGTGCAGACAATAATAGCAGAGCTGGTTCCGCCAACCCAGCATCAGAGTTGGCAGGAGTCTTGCCAGGGGTAAGATTACAGCGGAAGATTTACAGTTAATATGTCGGACGTTGAAGAAGAGTAAAGCACCGGGCGGCCTGATGAAATACTAAACGAAATAATACAACTAGTTGGTAACATATGATCAGATTTACTTCGTACTATGTACGATTTTTGTTTTAGACTTTGCACCTCCTCCAACGTAAGGCGACCCGTCTTCTGACAGACGGGTATTTGTCTTCTGTTAATGGGATTAGAAAAAGGTTTGCGAAAGTTTTCCACAATATTTTGGATACATGTTACCAATGATCTTGCGCACACTTGAAACGCGAATTTCAAATGAAAGGGAGGGAGGTACTGTCTAGTTTTTTAACATGTGCAAAATTACCACGAAATCGTAATTTATACTTGACATACTTCAAATAAATTCGTAACATAGGAAGTGTACGAAAAAAGGCTAACTGATCCAGATTGAATGAATTATGGCGTTTGTCTTCGATAAGTTCTTATATAATAAATCAAAGTTATGTGAATGCATTCCTGCAAATTTTTTGAAATCTTTCAGAATCGTGCAAATATCTTCACCCAAAAATTACTTCAATGTTACGCTTTTGAAAATTGACTTTAATCTTTTATCTTCTCTTGCGAAAAGTTTTATTACGTTTTCGGTCACTATGCCGTACGTATTTTAATTCATAATTTTGTATTTTATATATTTATTAACATTCTTTTAAATAATAGTAATAAGTAAAGTAAATGGCTTATTCATGCAGTCATTTCTGGCGCACCTTCAGTCCAATAAAAATGATTTTCAAACATGATAACATGAATTTATAATGAAACTTGATATTTAAATTCAATGCAAAATAAATCGGACCCGAATTAAATGAACAATTGAAAGACAATTGCTTTTCGTCTTTTTCAACGAAATTGCGAGTATCTTAACTGACGTGTGTGGTCAGACAGCGACGAATAATTTATGCTGATTACTTTATGAAACCTCCGGAACGTATTTCCCTTTAGACCTTTATGCCCAAAATTTAACAAACATATCTCGTGTTAGGAGATGTGAAGAAACATAAACGTCTATTGAAGCACTTGAGAAGAGACATCAAAAGAATATGCCAGAGTATGGACAAATTCAATTTGTTTATTTCAATAAGCTTAGATATGTATGCAAGCGTATGTATAAAAATTATATTATTTTCTTGCCGTCATTCGTATGTATTCCAATTTTTTTGCCCCAATACACAATACAATAGCCATCGAGATGACCTTGCAACATATCGCTACAGTGAAAAAAAAAAAAAAAAAAAATTAAAAAACAAACAAAATAAAATTAAAAAAAAAAAAAAAAAAAAAAAACATTAACAATCAAACGAACTGCAATGAATAAATAAAACAAAATATTTTATGAAACTTTACGCAAATGCAGTTCGACAGGTGAAGTTCACCGCAGCGTATATATATTTTCCTTCTTTTTTTTTTTTTTTTTTTTTTTTTTTTTTAAAAAATTAAACATTTTTTTTATTTTTTGAAGGGAATAATACATAACTGCCAACATAAACCAGAAAATGAAAAAAAGAAAAGAAAGAAATCATGGAACGAGGAAGATTAATACGATTAACAGCGGGAAGGAAGACGGCCTATAACACGTGACGCATAATTGTCGCTGCTACGTGAGTTTATTTATATGATACTAATCACTGTTCCGCTCCTTTTCGCCAGTTCAGTGCATCATTTATTGTTGTCTGACCCATTTTGTTGTTAAAGCTTTTAAATTGCAACAGCATTGCGATAAAACCACTATTAAACCAAAAAGAAAGAAGAAGACCGACATACAAAAAATGGCACTCATTTGAACTTCCAGTTAAGTGAACACATAATTATACCGGTTGTGGCTCCTGCTATTGCTTGCCTTATCATTTACAAGGTTTGATCAAGGTTAAGTTTACACAAAAGTGTATTCACTGCGCTTTTAAAATAAAACCTTTTGCTTTGCATTCACTGCAACGCACTACAACAGTTATCAAAATTTGTCGCGAACACTTACCCTATCAAAGATTACTTCATATAAGTATAAAGAATTTTTCGTAGAGTGCCTGAAAAAAGAAATGCACATATCGTTACGCACGGCACTTGCCTTTTATCTCGTTAACCAATAAGAAATAAAATTATTATTATTGTCAGGCAAGGTCGATTATTAAGTCCTTTACACGACACTGCCTAATGAAAGTAATTCTTCATTTATTTACTTGACAAATACCAAAAATTATACGTTATATAAATGTAAAGTCGTACTTTGCATGGGTGCCCGCGCCTAAGAACAACATTACAACGTAGACTGACGTGATCGCTAAAGATCTTCACCTATTTTTGGCGAATAATATTAAAAATTAGACGGTTGCTGGTATAGGCTTACATTTCATAAAGCGACCAAAAAAAAAAAACAACGAGAGTCCAATTTTGAAGTTTTAATTTCAAGTTACGATTATAGAGCAATCTTCGTCGCAAAAGATTAAAGACTAAAATTTTTTTCAATATGACGGTTTACTCTTCGTAAGAACGGTTATATGAGAGGGAATTCGAAAAATTAGCCCATTCAATCCAAATTTTTGACACCATCTTTTTATGTGGAAGTACTACTACTTTGCTATTTGGAAATTTTGGAAATTGCAAATCGACGACAATGGCATTTCTACAAAAATCGCCCAATCCAAAACGAAAACCGAATTTCGTCAAAATATGTGAAAAATCGTGGCCATAAATTGAATGCGAAAATGGAATGGACAGACGGACCAACGGACAGACAACTTAAATTTGTGCAGTCAGTGCCTTATGCCTTTTTGTCTAAATAGTTTAAGAGGGTAGACAAGCTCTTGGCCCTAAATTCTTCAATTTATTAAGGAAACCGAATGTTGACGGTTACGCCTCTATTAAAGGCGTTCATTCCCCAACCTGCTCTCTCTCTCTCTCTCTCTAATCTTACGAAGGTTTTGGCATTTGAGTGGAAACATTATATAGACTATATACCCCACACCACTTCACTTAATGCAGTTATTCATTTATAAGTAGACGATAAATTGGGCCGACCCGAACTATTTTCATAAGAGTTCCCTCTTCGACCAAAACATATGCACTCTGAACACAATAATGAGGAGATAGAATCCAAACAAACAGAAAAGCTTAGATCGATCCAGAACGTGATTATAAATCTACAGGGAAGGTTATATCAAATTTAAACGTTTCTTCGCCATAAGACGTGTAATTCAGAAAAACTTTATTCAAATCTGGCAAAATTGGATCCGAGATAGATTTCAATAGAGTTAAAATAATCTTTGACTTGCCTTTTTTTGCTTCAACAACCTCTTGATCTACGGTAAATGCTAATCAAAAAATTTGCAATAAATTATTGTAAACGAGAGGCGTAAAATATTTTCCGTTTCGGGTCCCATTTGAAAAAATTAGTATCCAGGGTCCACTCGAAGACGAATCTTTTATCTCTTCCAACAAATCGACGAAATAACAGAAAAAAAAAAAAAAACGAATTTGTGAGCTTCAAGCGCACAACAGTACATAATAAATTATGGTACTCGCAACCCAGGGTCCTTGAATTAGAGATGAGGCCACATATGCATAAGTTTTTGCAAACTAATTCTCCAACATTAAATGAAACTGACATTCACACTAATAAATATGTTATGTAAATGATATTGTTTCATAATTTTCAAGAAAAAAATTTAAAAAAAAAAAAAAAAAAAAAGATTCTTTTAAAATACGAAGAGGAAACAAGAAAAAGGGGAAAACAAGCAAAAATCGAAAAGTGACTCGAAGTCATAAAAGCTTTTTTACCTATATATACTCGTAGAAAACAAAAAGCCCAAAAAGTAACATCTTCAGGCACTTCAGTTTTGTCCTTCTTCGTAAGAGAAAATTTTGTATAAATTGCCAGAGCAGATGATATTTGCCACCATTAATACGTTTAAAGGAACTGAAGTGCCAACAGCAGTACTCATACGGGCGAACAATATTTTTTTTAAAAAAAATTTTTAAATAAATAAACATAAAAAACATCATGAATAAATTGGTAAGCAATGTCATCTTCTACAGTCACTTGTGGATGAATTACTTGGGTACATGAATTATATTATATTTTCGCTATGAAATTTGTGATCACAAGTATTCACAAGTATAAATAGAGAGAAGGTTACGAGAGAAGATTTTAACCCCGTGAGACCGTATATCCTTTCCTTTCCTTTTCTTTTTTAGCTTATTTGCAGTTTGTTTATCTGCTTGTTAAGCCTTGTTGCGGCTCGGCCTAATGAATATGATGCGGTGGCGGAAACAAGAAGCTTTAGCACTGAAGTTAAAGAGGACGGTAGCTATCAGTATCAGTATGATACTACAAATGGTATTGCTGCCCAGGAATCGGGAATAGGCGGCCATTATGCAAGCGGTTCGGCTGCTTATTACGCCCCAGACGGTCAATTGATCACATTAAGCTACACAGCCGATGATAATGGTTTCCATCCTAGCGGGAATCATTTACCCACCCCACCACCGATACCAAATGCCATACTCAAAGCTTTAGAATATATACGCACGCACTCTAACGAGGAGGAAAGGCAAGGTGCCATCGAGAATAAACAGCAAACAAAATTAGCAATACGTTACCGTCAATAGATATGTTTTTTGCTTATGACTTTTTTGTCTTCACATGCAATGTTGTTAAACGTTTTTAAATATTTTTTTCTTGCATTTTGTTTTTATGTGATTTAAAAAAAACAAAAAAAAGAATAAAAAAAAAAAAGATGAAAATAAACTTTTGTGATTGGATTAGGAAGGAAAATTCAAATCAAAATATAAATGACTGCAAATGTAATCATCTCGCTCCATAATAGGAATAAAAATTCCGTATATAATTAACGCAAACATTTGCTATTACTATACAAATCAACAATTTTCGCATAGTAATTGATAATAATGTTCTTACGAACACTATGTAGAAAAAAGAGAAGCAATTAACAGCAGTTACATACAGGTTTTAATAACAGAAGAAAAATCGTAAGAATTTTGAAAAAGGTTTGATTTAATTAAAATTATTTCGAATATATTTCATGTGTTTTGACAACAGTAAGCAGTTAAGAATGATATTTTACATAGAATGATATTTACATATTTAGTGTCATTATACGAACGAACACTTACGATTATTTATCATTTACATTTCGGATAACAAATAATTATTGAGTTGATACAAGTGAGAAAATTATGTCCGGCGGGAGCCGAATCTCTATGTTTTTCACATTCTACTTTCCATGTTCTTTTATTTGATACTCACATCGCTGATATTATTTAAAAAAAAAATAAACAACTAATTGAGGCGCCTAACCCATTTTTCGGCAGATAAATCAGTACAAAACAGTTTTAAATCTTGTGTCTTGTTTGCCTTATGATAATTAAGCGTAAAACCTCCAAAAAAATGCAAAAAATCAAATTTAATTATCCGTAACTTGGTGTGGACATGGACGACTGCTTCCATTTGTGGACCTAAAAAGTAGAGTGTTTCATAAAGTAGATATGGAAAATTTCGCTCTTCTAAGTTTAATAATTTCCGAGTGACAAGCAAGAATCCAAAAAAAAACTTTTTTTTTTTTAAACTGAGTTGCGTTCAGTTTACGCTCCACTGTGCGCCTTTGGGACATTTTCAATGCTAAATGCTGCGTGCAAAAACATCCAACCTTTCAACCAAATTTGAAGTCTATATCTTAATTTTTGCAACCAGGAGAATACCAACAACAGACAGCACACAGACAGGGAGACCTGGCTAAGTCTACTCGGAATTTGACGCCAATCAAGAATATATATATATACTTTATAGGGTCTTTGAAGTTTCCTTTTTGGTGTTACAAACATTATGGACAAAAAAAACAAAATGAATACACTCCCATCTTACAGTGGTGGGTATAAAAATCAATTTGAGGAGGAAAGTACAAAATTTTCAAAATTAGTTCTGCCTGCCGCAGAAAAAGAGGGTCATAAAAGCCACATTAGCTTAAACTTGTTTCAAGTTTTCTCTTCAATGTTTAAGTAATATTCTGAAACAAGGTTTCATAAATCTGCTCAAAGTTTGGCGCTCAAACATTGCCGCGAACCCCTATAAAATAAGTGGAAATAACTTACTATGCTAGCTTACATTTTTTCAAGGTTTATGTCTTTGCTGAATATCGTAAATTTACATCTTTGCATGATTATAATTTACCGTCAAGTAAAGGAAAAAATACATGGCATAATAATTATGCGAATTAATTAGTAAAATAGTGCAGCCTTTTGTTTGACGATCAAAAAAAATCGAAAACTTAACTAAATGTAGACTAAGATATTGCCATTAACAACATCATGCAAGGCATTGCTATATAAGCAATGAAAGACTATAGTATACAAACATGAATATTAAAAATTTTCGGAAAATATGAAGTCATTTGCGATACTAAAAAGCTAAAGGCTACCAGAATAACTTAATCCTGATGGTGGTATCATCGTATCGTTGTCTCAAAAATCGCCTGTAAGTCGTAAGTAAGCTAAATCGATCACAAAAAAAAAAATTTACGGAAGTAAACGTGCTCTGATAACCTTTAACATCGTTTAAGACATGTTGAAAATCTGTGGCGGCCTTATTATTACGATTACTATCCACCCATCCATAATCGCAGCCACTTAAAAAAGATGACGAAATGAAAAAAATATTCGAAATTTTTAATACTTCTCGACATAAGCCGGTGAAAAGGAACATTTTGCAGAATATGGAAAAGTTCGAGCGGATGGAATCATTCTGCTCATCCCCTTATCCCACATATGAACAGTCTTACAACAAATAAGCTTCCAGATGGCGATCGACTTTGCTAGTTCATTTAGCTAGTCTTAGTATGTTTATTCTAATAAGCTTGGATCGTAAAAGTCCGTTTTTCGAATCCCTTCCGTAATTTTTTAATTTTTAATTTCATAATTAAAATTAATGAAGAATAATAAGTTCTTTGGCAAATTTGAACCAAGTCGATCTGCTTATTATATATGGTAAAATTACAATTGCAAAATAATAACATTATGAGACCTAGTGGGGAAAGCTTTACGTTTTACATAAAAGAAATATGTTGCGTTTACAAGCTATCGAGGTAAAAAGCTGTAACTCAACTGTCAATTATGGAAATATATATTAGTAAACCTTTATTTATATAAAGTCGATATATATATATATTTTTTTTTTTTTTCGTTATAATAATTCTTTTGCACATTACCTTCAAATGAGTTATTTTGACGGCTAACCAATTCGAAAAAAAAGAAATAATTATTACGAATTTTCACACCAGGGGGAAGAGAAAAAAGAGAAAGATTGAAAAAAAAAAATGGAGAAAAAATTCGCACAAGGTTTTTTTGTTTTTTTTTTTATATAATTAAATTATTTTAAAATTTATTTGTTATATATATATATATATATATATATATATAATATTATATATTTTTTATTATTATTTTTAATATCAATTACACAATTTATGCTTTCTAAGCAAAAATTTCTATAATTTTAATCAAGTGTTTGGCTCGAGTTTTGGTGCGACCAATTGCACATCACTAGTTTGTATAGAATGTTGTTGCTGCTGCTGTATTGGTGTAACAATTGTATTAAAATTGCTCCGAGCGTTTGTAGTTAAAACATTCGATGTTAATAATGTAGCAGCCGCCGAAGATACTACTGTGGTAAATAATACTTTTGGATTTATTCGCAATTGCGTGGGAGGATGTCCATTCTGCAAATTAGCAGAATTAGTTAAAACTTGTTGTGACGTGTGCGTAATATGTTGCTGCTGCGTATTTACTTGTTGCTGCAATTGGCTTTGTTGTTGCATATGTTGACCGAAAAGTTGAAAAAACTTCTCCACTGCCGATTTTTCAAAATCCAAACGTTCGCGTTCGACGGCTAAACGTTGCTTCTGCAAATCGTTGTTGGTCTTTTGAGCGGTTATCAATTTACTGATTAACAAGCGTACACCTTTAAGAAGAAAATGAAAATTATTTACACAATAATAATAAAATGTAAGTCGCTTGAAACCGTACCGTAAATATCCTTCCTGCCACATGTATCTTCACGTTCTTCTCTTTCTTTTTGCGGTTGTTGAGATTGTTGCTGCTGTTGCTGTTGTGTTTGCTGCACTTGTGCTGTCGTCGATATTTGCTGTTGCAATTTAGATTCATCGGGCTTTGCTGTTAAGCTCTTCCTTAACGTTAACTGAGGCTGATTATTTTGATTAGAAGATGACGCCGCCATACTGTTAGTAGCCAATGTGGATAATGCGGCACCTGGATTACTCTTATTTGACTGGTCGGCATTAACAAGCAATAGTTTCATACCGCCCGGCCCAGTAGTAACAATACCGGTATTGTTAGTACCGGCATTAACTGAAGACGGTGTGGCAGGTGTACTCAAAACTAAATGCGGCTGCAAGTGACCACTAGCGTTCGGCAGCAAACGTATCTGGGGTTGTGAAGAGACCGTTGACACGCTAGGTTGCATTAGGAAATTCGTTGGAACTAACGAAATTTTACCCTGCTGAGCGCTAGTATTCTTTGCTATGGTAGTGGTAGCATTAGTTATTGTCGTAATCGGTATCAATGAGGCTGAAGAGCATATTGAATTGGCGGAAATACTGCAAGATAAACTTGTTGGTATACTTTTAAGACAGGTCTTTGGTATTCTAAGGTTAAAAAAAATAATACAGTTGCAAGTAAAACAAAAAAAAAAAAAAAGGCTTCTCACACTACTTACTCATCCTCAGCATCCACATCAATTGGCTCCACTTTAGGTACCAATAACAAATCATCAACGGAATCCCTATTTTTATTGCTGCTGTTATTGTGAGGTTTGCTGCTAGTTTCTTTCATTTCATTTGTTTTGGACGTTTGATCAATTCTCGGTTTATCAGAACTGGTTTGCACAATAACGGTTTTTTTAACGTTGGCATGTTTAGTTGAGGTTGAGCTATCATTGTTCATTTTATCGGCTATAAATTCTTCAGTATCGATTTCCATTTTAATAAAAAATTCGTCATCAACTGATTTGTCTTAAAAATTAATACGGTTCAATCAAAGATTAGTATCAAATCTCAATTCTAAACTCATATAATATTCCCACACTCATACATACCATTCCCATTATCCGAGTTTTTTGCAACGTTAGAGCCCTTATTTTTGTCTACTTCCGTCATAAGAATCTCGGTTTCTCTTTCTTCGTCGATAAGATTTATTCCATGTACAGTCTTATTATTATTAGTTTTTTGTATTCTCTTTGCAAGCGGTTCGCTAAAGGCCAAGACATCGATAATATCTTCATCGTCACTCTCGGAAACAGACCCACCTAAAATTGATTAATAATAGAATCCCTACAATATATTCACATATTTTGCTTACTCTTACCCTCTTCCAATATTTTACGCTTACGCTCTTTTCGCCTTTCCAGCTCCTGTTCAATTTGAAACTTGATCGATGGAGCAGGCACTTCATTCGGTCTGACACTGAATATAGGTCGCGACATCACGGCATCCATTTCAGCATAATGACGCCAGGAAGGTTGTGAACATTCACCGGATTCCACTTCCTTCTTCAAACGATTATATATACACTTAAGGTTTTTAATGCGCGTCGTTATCTCTTCGGGCGTGCGAAAATAACCATATTCCTCCATTTTAGCAGAAAGCTCCACTATAACGCTATATTTTTTATGTGTAGTAATAAGTTGACGCTGCACCTTCGGATCACCCCACAACTGTATGAGTACCTTGGTCTCGTCAGTATCGAAATTCGGATTACGGCCCAAGGCAATGTTGTTTTTAAGCTTTGCACCACCATTCAGGACACGGTTTTTCGATACCCAAGGATCACCAGGACGACGTTTTCGATTGCGTGTATTAGGTTTAGTCGACATTTTTCTCACACCTGCAATAAAATTACAACACATAATTTAATCAACTAACCAAACAGAGCATACTAAACACAGGGGGAACTTGCGTATGCGAACTAAACTCGTATTCAATTACACAAACTCATTCATTTTCACTTTTATAAAAAACACAACATCAACAGATGTGTAAAACGACGTGGATCTATTGTTCTAATAGAAGTAAGTTCAAAATTTTGGTTCAATTCTTTTCCACGACCCAGCATATATGTACGGTTTAGTCAATGCTACCACATGAATTTTGCACAATCAAAATGCATTGAATTGAATATAAAACACGCTTGCACATGCATGGAAGTGTGCACATAAACTGCATACGAGCATAGTGCCACACACGTAACAAACGCATATTTCTTTATATATATATATATATACATCATCATATATACAATTACCCACTTCGCAATGCTTGAACAATACTCGCAACAATATATAAAATATGCGGCGCACAATATTCTATAATATGCCCATACAACTTAATAGCTATTATCGTTGCTTTCAGTTTGTTAGCAAAGCTCATTACACACCTCCTCCAAGCACCCTTTATCTGCCTCTTATTTATTATCCTGTACTGTACGCAATACTTTACGAGTCTCTTTTTTGCGTTTCCTTGTTCCTGTTGCGGCGATATCTCTCATGCGACTGAGCATCTTGGTCCTTTACCTGAATACACTTTGAGCGAATTAGCCACCACCTTATCATCGTTGCATATGCATACGTGAATCCATAAGACTTCTATACAGACAGACCTGCGCAATACCTCAATTATAAATTTTTTTTTATCGATTTTTTCGGAAAAAATTTTCTTCATAATATTGAAAAGTTCTTCCCCTTCAATTCACAAACATGTGCAAATAATTATTTCAATAAGATTGCGCCAGGAGTTTTAAAACTTAATAGTATTGCGAGAATATATTGAATAAAATGTTTTAACCAAGATATGTTTGCTTAAAGTTTGTCGTAAGCAAATTTTTTCTTTACTCTAAATAGATAAGTTGTTTGATGACATGCGCTTTATCATCGAACTTTTCTATGCCTACTAATGCATTAATATTTCATTTTTCTCAAAGTGCATTTTAATGCAAAAGCCATAAAGTATTATTTATAAATATTTCCATTAGTTGCTCTTTACCTTAGATTCCCTAAAAACCTACAATCTAACCTAGCTCTCGTACAATAGAGGAGCCTCCGTACAAAAGACGCTTAAAACGCCTGCGCTGTGAGTTATCAACCCTTGGAGTGTGGGCAATATGCTAAAAATTGATTGCATCATAAAACAATTGCTAGAATAAATCCGAGTTCTCACATCGATGAATGTATAAAAACAAAATATAAGTTTATTGGTTTGTCAGTACCTCACACAAATGTATGAATATCATACAGGGTTCCATTAATTATGAATGTGCGAGCAATACGATCGACATCGCGACCATTTATCGGATCTTGATTAAAAAAAAAAAAAAAACCCGGTCCATGTATCTATACATAATACATCTCAAAACTGTCGTGACAAATTGATAGTTAATTTATTTTCCCTTTCAGGCTAGTTTTACTACTCAAGAGGACCGGGCCCTGTTGAATGTCTATATCGACATGTAAATAACGTTTATAGTAAAGCTTTTTTTTTTTTGACAGTCCGAAAACAAAGAGATTTGAATAAATACACCATATAAAGCTTTAGGCTGAAATGAAACAACTCGATTTTCAGCGAAAGTCATCTCTAGTCCCAGCAACTTGGTGTAAAATTTCATTAAAAAAAAGAAACTTAAACAACATAGAGTGTATGCATTCTTGACATAGATTAGTTAAAGTCAAGAGTCGCACTCAAGACTCGCTCACATACAATCAACAAGACTTTCTTTAAAATGTTAAAAGCAAGATAAGTGCGAAAAATGTGAAAATATGTTAACAGGAAAGAAATTATATTTGGGCTGAATCGAACTTTTAATATTCATCATTCACTACCTGACATAAGTGGTTGGTCGCAAGCTGAACCTAAGATCAATCAACATGCATATGCAGCACTCTGCAGATAATTGCACAAACTACGAACCGTACGCTTTTCGGAGGAACTCTTAGCTGAAATTTTTCTCGTACTCGGCAAAAAAGCTTCAATATATAAGTGTTGTTCTGTTTTTCTCACGCAGACAAATTTAACTTTGTCGGTTCCATATTTACAATGATCTGATATATATTATATTAAGGCCTTATATGTATTTTTCAGGTGTAGTGTAAAGCGGCATAACCCTTTCGGAACGTGTGCTAACTTCGTATATTAATCCCCACTTCATCGTGCCCTTAAATTTCGAACGGGTGTCACCACTGGAACTACCGACGTTTTGAATATAGACATTCCTACCGAAAGGGATCATTACGACCCCCTCTTTTTTGTGTAATCGTCACTGTTGCAAAAATAGAGATAAGAGGTGGAAATTTCCGCACAAGAACTAAAACGTCGAAAATTGATAAAAAAAAAAAACATTTTCAAATTCCAATTTATTTCCAATTTATTCAGTTTCGCATTTATGGTGGACGTGCATTTGATTTTTATGACTATGAGAAATCGACAAAAACAAGGGACCAAGCCTCTCCCCTATGGTAAAAATAAGTATATATCGTCGGTATATCGAGAGTAGGAAGAAACCGATTATAGATATTTGAAGATTCTTTCATATAAGTACAAGTACCACACAGTATTCAAATATTACCTGAGGTATAACCATTTTTTTTTGAAAATCGAAAATGAAAAAGGATCAATATGACGTAATCGGTAATTCCAAAGTTAAAGCAATGTAATGATAATATGAAATTTCAGGTTAAGTTGGATGTAAATAAACGGCCGTTTTTTCTCATATCGTATTATATAAATTGCAGCCTTTCCTGCCTAAGAGCTCTTTTCGAATTTTTCGCAGTTGCAGGCAAGCTGGGCCTCTTCTGAAATTTAATCCCCGAAATATGTCTAAATAACAGACAAACAAATGTTCAGGGAGTATCCTACCCCCAAATAGCACGCGCAACATCTGTCACATGTACGTTGAACCCCCACAAAATAAATTTAAATTTAAAATTATACGAAAAAGCGGATCAATGTTGATCGAGATATTAAATGCCTCAGTTATACTTGATATTTACAAACCGTCACACTGTCTCAACATGTCTTGAATCTTAGGTAGCATAAGAAAAAAACATAACAGAGTCAATTGCTTTTTTTAATAATTACAAACGGGACGGGGAAATGTTATCGAACCCCATGTTTGACAAATCACGCATATAGTGGTTCTGCGCATATTTCCCTTACTTTCAATATAAAAATGTCTTCGGTAGCTGAGGAGACCGTATCGAATATCGATAAAAAAACGCAAAGAAATAATGTTTATAATTAAATACCACTGATTGTATGCAGAGTAGGAAAGAGGGTTAAGAATGCGCTGCTCACGCTTAGTGCTTCGAACAGAAGGTGAGCATGTTTAATAAATATGAAAGCAAGAATGTGAACAGATTCACAGAAATATGTATATACTCTAAAGACAATTTCTCTCTTACTCTTTCTCTTTCTCTATTTGTAAACAAACTCGACCCAAGCAGAATTTATTTTTTAAGCCACATACTCACCACACCCTACGCATTCTTATACATTCATACTAATCTCTACATCAACACATAACTGAAGAAGATATGCATACATTACATATATTATTTTTATACTTCAGATCAAAAAATGAATTTCTTAAGGAACAAAAACTTATATTAAATAACAATTCAAAAACGATTTTTTTTTTTGCCTTAAGATAAACGCAGAAGCAAAAAACATTCTTTAATATCAAAAAAACATCGCAAAAAACGTGTACTGAAAAAAAGTTCATTTCACAGATAGCTTAATATACTGTTTGTGGAAAAAATTAAAAAAAACCAATATTTTGTTGGACCATCTTCAACGTCTAGTAGTATATACTTGTATACGCCTTGGCATTGAAGAAGCTAACTTGCCTGTTACATCTGTATCAATTTGAGTCCATTCCACAAGTAAAGCTTTCCTAGTCTTTAATATTACAAGTTTTATTTTTTCAAACCCATCCATTCATTTCATTTGGGGAAATGTACAGTGGCCACTGCTCTTTTAAGATGAAAGACGTATATTCGCGATCGTTGGCCTGCTGGTAGATTCATTTGCCCGAAACACTCACTTCAATTGCGGAGTCTTGACATTGACTTGGAAACGATTGAGATAAATATGTCAATAATGACCAGCTTTCCGACTTCAGCTGCGAACATGCATACCGAAACCATAACAGACCCTCCAACGTGCTTCACAGTTGGTAATTAATTTTAAATCGCCATCGCTATATTAGGTTTCCTCCAAATTCTTTCTTTACCATCCCATCCGTATACATTGAACTTACACTCGTCTGCTCGACTAAAAACTACGATTTTCCAAAAAATGTTATCATCATTTTTGTAAAGTTTTGCAAACCAGAGAGGTTTTTTAATATTAACCCTCTGCACTCGAGGGCTCCGGAGCGGAACGATTTAAAATTGGACTTCGAACTCGAGGGCTCCGCTACGAAAATATTGTAAATAATTTGCAGTTCTTAACATAGAAACAAAAACAGATCGTAAAAAGTAGAATTCGGGTGTTTCGCTGTTGGTGACAAACGACGGTCGCGACTCGCGGACGGTCGTAATACGAATGAAAAAAAACTTCGAGTGCAAAGGGTTAATATCGCTTATAAATTTTTTTTTTTTTTTTTTTAAGGTAAAGTGTATTTTTTGCTTATAACTTTATCTGAAGTTTTAAAAATATTTTGAAGTGATATTTAATATAAGTTTTTCTGTCTTAAGAAATATATTCTTCGAGCCTCAACCCATAAATGTAGCTTTTAATAGGAGAAATCTTAATTTTTCGCAGTGCATGTAGACTTTATTGGGCCACTGTAGAGGTTAAATAAAAAATACTCTTTATTTTGGCATTTTTTGAACGCGGTAGGTAGTAAGTTCTCTTTTCGTATTTTTTTGCTGGATTTCCTTCAATCTTGAATCTTCCAATACCCCTGCAAATTCGTATCGTCCGTAAAATCATTTCTGAATTGGATTGAACACGTGTTGATCATCCCTATTTTATGATAGACTTATGTTCTTTTACTCACACAATAATTATTAAAAAGAGAATTCCAACAAGGGACTTGAAATTAATGTCATGTTTATGTTTAAACTGAAAATTTCGTATCGAAATATTTGATTAGGTAATATTCGCGTCAAGGTCGATTTATGTCGGCCGAAAACGATGAAAGCCCTTCTTTTGTTGCGTAAGGGTATTTTGCAAATCACTTTCGAACTGCGCTTCCTCCCATAGTCAGTTAATTAGTAGAGTTGGATATTCTCCAATCGATTTTGCGGTCGCGCAACAGCTACAGGCAGACGGAAGAAGCGATAAACAAATGATGTTTAGTTTACCCGCTATATAGCTTTGACGTATTTCTGAAGGACAAATGGGACTAACGTGTCCGAATCTTTTGAAAGGTAATAAAAGATTCAATAAATTTGAATTGTGCAAATTATGTACACCACAGTTAATATTTATTTTTTCCAACCTGCAGATTTTTCAAACGCAATTTTATGGAGAATTTACATATATAGACAATGACGTAAATACATACGCAACTTGGATACCAAAAGAACTTTTTAGGTAACAAAATCTTCTACTGCGGTTGCGTTGGTCTTCTTTGTTCCACCGATGTCATTGGCTTCCTTAACTGTGTTTGGTAAGATCTTGTTTGTCGTCTCAGGTAATAACAGTGATAAGCCAGCACTAGTGAGCGCAGTAATTGCGAATAATATGGGAGGAGCATTTTCAGAATATTTAGCCTGTAAGGAGTGTAAATTGATTCGCATAAAAATCGCGATTGTTTATTTTAATTACGTACTAGAAGTGGGGTCTGGGCTGCTAACATTGAACCAAAACGACCCATCATCGAACAGAATGACAGGAGGCTATTGCGTAATGTGGTTGGAAAAATTTCCGATGTGAAAAAATATAGAACTTGAAAGCTCGCAGTTATTGCCATTTTACCCAAGAGAAATAACACCAATTGAATATAATAATTATCTGAAAATAATGAAAGCAAGTAAGAAAATGATATCCGGTCGTTGTCGAATCTTTTATACCCATCACCGTTATCCTAAAAAAGACAAAGAACTAAATTTTGGAGTGAGACGTGTGGGCGTTGTAGGCGTGTTTTCGGAAAAATTTAAATAAAATCCAATTTCTTTTGCGAATTTGCAGGCGATATCTCCCCTTTTCACTAACGGGAGGATGTTCATCGCAAATACTACGCAATTGCGCAGACAGACAAATGTACAGATGAATCGTGCATTCCAAATTTACAACTGGCTAAGAATTTATATAGTTTATGGGGTGTTTTGAGACTTCTTTCTGCGCCTTTTAAAAGTATTGAAAAAAACACTGCACTTGGGTAGACGTGGCTACTTTTTTCCACTTTTGTACAGATGTTACAGCATCGCCCATAGAATATGCGTTCAAATTTCTGCAGATTTATTTGCCGCATTATTCGAGTCATGATCAAAGAATCAATTGCGTATTCCTTTTGAAAAACAGAATTGTTCTCCGTTTTCGCAGCGCTGTGGGCGCGCCCTTCGACCGAATTGGCCCATTTGCAATTACAACCTGCGCGCAAGAACTTCCAATGTTTCTAATAAATTTGAAGTCGATGCGGCCAGAAAAATGTTTACCATCGACATTACGCATTGGTACCGACGGACATGCTCGAACCGATTTAGAATTTGAAGCTGATCAGGAATACACATATACCTTGTGGGGCCTGTGAAACTGTGAAACGTTGCAAGCGTTTGTACAAAATAAATACGTTTTCATCCTTCGGTGATGGGTGTAAAAATTTATTAGCTAAGAATTCGTATGTATGTAAGTGAATTAATATTACCTGATGTGAGAAAAATAGTTCCCAAACAGCAGAGACCACAAACGAGCATATATCCGCATAAAGTATAGCGGCGTCCGAATCGATCCATCGTGACCAATGGCAAAAAGAAACCAGGAATTTCAATCATTGCTATAAGCATAAAATTATTGTATTTGTTACCGTGGAGAAGCACGGCGCTCAAACTAAGACCATAGTACACAAGTACATTTACTATCCAGCAATAGGAACAGTTTGCTATGCGCCAGAAAAATTTATCGAATGCTTCTCTAATCGGAAATTTCTTCTCACTGCTATTGCGAAGTTTCTGATCATTGGCCGTAACGAGTTTTTCTAACCAACGGTCCGGCAATTCAGACCGATTGACAGCAGATGCTTGTTTCAAAATCAATTTGGCTTCTTCATCACGATTTTGACTTAACAGCCAACGTACACTTTCCGGTAATATCCAAAAATAGGCGACCAATGCCAATGTAGGGCCATAAAGTATGCGCAATAAAATTCGCCAATTTTGGTAATATTTAGCGAATAGGGCCAAAAGAATCTCACCCAAAGCGTAAAAGACGGTAATTAAACAGCAAGCTAATACTCGTTTCTGCGGACCTACAAGCTCTATGCCAATAATAAAGCAAACTGAGTAAATCGAACTTGAGGCGATGCTGTCTAAAATTTCGAACACAACGAAAAATACATAAGATGTAGCGAACGAACGTATGATACCCAAAATTCCGGCAATAAAACTACACAATATTAACGATGTGCGCCGACCATACCTAAGCAAGATAATCAATTGCATTGCAAGCGCATGGAAAAAATGGCATTTTAAAAATTATACCTACATATCGGAAATGTAGCCACCAATTGGAATACCGATAAATTGGCCTATATTGTTGAGAGTTCCCACCATCGATAATTTCCATTCATCCTTGCAATATATGTGAAACTACAAAATGTAAATTAAATATGTTAGTTAAATGCACATTGTATTATAGATATTTTGGACCATGTGGAAACATTTCAGTACGGAAAATCCGAACTTTGTCTGTAAGCGTCCCTAAAAGTGCTGTCTGTGTCAAGCGACACCTTGCTGGAAAGCAACGTACAACTCAATGTGTAATCTGATGATTTCTGGCTCCTTTAATACGTTAATGGATGTCTTGCGAGAGTGTTTTTCGGTTCGTTTAAAAGCATTTTCACAAACGAGAAATACACGTTAGAGCAATCTCAACTGCGACGATTGTTAATTAGACACGAGGTTGAGAGCAGTTCGAAAGTTTTCAGTGGCTTCTGCCAAGATATTAAATGTTCTGAGTTTGAAGTTTTTGGAGTTGATTGCGAGTTCGTTTCCGTTTCTCCATCACTTAGCTATACGTCAAGTGTAAAAGGTATAATTCTATCTATGACCGATGTATCAAAATCGCCATCTTCCATTCAAACACTGATAAAGAACTTTTGAACATCGCGGGCATGGCTGAAATTGTGCATCGATAGAAAAATATCGTGCAAGATTTTTTATGTTCAGTACTTCGAGATGGTTTTTTTTTTTTTTAATTTTTTCAAATTGGAACCAAACTCTCTAATAATCATATGGTATTGGCATGCTTCCCTGAAGAAAAACTTCTTCTTATGAGATTTGTCAATTAAACTCTAAGACTAGTCTACTTAAGTCTTAAAGCACACGCAGCATCCACGGCTATCGTTTTTGTTGTACAATTCGGCTTTAAATTGAATTGAAATTATTAAATAGTCAAGTAATTATAAAATGTGTCATCAAATACATTATTGTGTCAGGTAATTAAAAATAGATTTTACTATTGCGTCTATCTGTATGCGATTCGTGACGAAAATCGTATTAAATATAAAATAAGATATTTAGCATATTGAATGAAATTTTAAAGGTGAAATATCTCGAAATTATAATATGGCGGATGTCAAAGTCACGTCTGATTGCTTTAACCATTATAAAGTTTGAGTCGATCAGAGTTTTAATTTGTTCGAATTTATTCAGAGAAACTGGCCAAGCAGGGCGATAAAAATTTGCATTGCGCGAAAAAAATGGAAGGGCTCTTAATATGTTTAATAAATATGGGAAAGGAGAAGAAAGTGTGAACATCTAATGCAGGATTTTGTAAGGGAATTACACTTGAACTCAATGCTACTCACTTCATTTGAAATTGTTTCTTCACTATCACGAAATATTAAATTATCGGTGCTGCAGGGTTGTGTGTTATTACGATCGAAGTGATCATTTTTACACTTAGTGTTATAATTGAATTCGGCATTAAAATTGGTAAGATTGTCAGTTAGATTAGCAGCATAACGATGACATCGATCTAAAACGGAGTTGCTTTTGTAGGGTATGGCGTATTCGGTCCATGGTTCATCGTATTTGCTATCGATATCGTCACATTCTGTAATATTACATCTGATAAATTGTTCAAAGAGATATTTTTGAATAATTCAGACACATAAGCCGTGCGCACGTACTACCTGTAGATCACCGTCCCGGCCGTAAATACATAAGCTACCGAGAATATCGCACTAAACATCATTGGAATGCATATCAGCAGTAGGATATTGATTTGAAATTTACCAAATTGACCGATATGAACCAGAATAGTATCCAACGTGACTTTCTCTTCCTCTTTAATAATTTGATTATGATTATGTGAGTTAGCTGTCACTCTTTCATTTAAATCCATAATTGACTGCAGCAATGTATAATAATTTTAAACAAATCTCAAAGTGACTTTTAATTTGTTGTAAATTGTTGTTAGTAGCGCTTTTCGTACATATTTCACTTTATTTATACGTAGTCTGCAGTGAATCAAATCGGTCACGATTCAGTCACTACTGAATATCAACTGATCAATGGAAAGTACGCATATATATGAATGTTGATACGTTCCAACGGCAATGTACTATAGAAAGTAAAAAAAAAAACAAATAAAAATAAAAAAAAATAAAGAAATAGAAATTCTAAATTTTTAATTTTGAAGCGTGAGAATGGCAAGAAGGGAGAAGAGAGACATTTTACTTTTTATTAGCATACAATACCACAGCGGGAATGTTTTCCTGCATTGTTCAGGTAAGTTTTGATAACTTCTCTACTCATTCGCTCTAAATGAATGGAACTCCGATTATAATAAATTGATTTACTGTTTGCTACCGCTATTTACGATCGGAGAATAACATTAAACATTTATATTAGATGAAATATTTTTCTCTTCCGAACTGAATTTTATGGGATACATAAATTTTGTTATTACCCTTGTAACAGTTAGAGATAGATAGATATACCTGCAAATCGCATCAATAATATATTTGAACTAAAAACATTTTTTAACAATATATGTGAAGTGAGACTTTAACTCGATTTTCTTATCAGTGTGCGTTTCATAAAGATTTAAATAGCAAACTGAAACAAACTTAACGCGTACACTTCTCGTTCGCTTTCGTTAATCAAATTTACGAACAGATGACTGACGCCTTTAACAAAAGCCTATAAAAACTAAAAGCCTTCCTTCTTGAAAGGGATAAAACTTTTTTGAGATTTTAATTACTATTATAGCGTACAAAAGTTTATTACCGTGGGTAACTGTAAGTCCGCTCGGTTCTCGAATAAAGCCAAACTCAAATTTCCGTAATGAGCAAGATATTCCACATACCCCCAAAGGGCTTACTGCTTACTGATTAGTTTTGTAAGGAATCCTGGCTCAACTGCATTTTTATGCAATCAATACAAACGTCTTCCGCAGGTAAATAAATATAGAACGGCCTCTACAAATTAAAAAGTTTCTATTCTTTAAATAATTTTCGGCAGTCGATTCTAAAGTGTAAGTTTGTTAAAGATTTGATGTCGTAACTATTGTGCTTAGATAGCGATTAGTTCGACTTGAACTGAGTTAAATGCTTTCGTTTATTTCTTATCTCTTCCTTACTATTTTCAATTGAGAGACAAGTTTATTTAATTCCCGCCTGAACGTGTTTTTTGTCATTTCATACATTTGCAATTGAGATTTTTTTCAGGCCCCACTTTTCTATTTTCTAAGAAAAGTTTTCTCGCATTTTATATTTCTATTCTTCTGTCTGATGGATAACTGATGGATAATTGCAGCCATTTTTTAACAATATTAGTAGAGAGCTCTACATCGGAACTCAATCTTATAAAATTAAATCAAGAACTAAATTTGCTCTTCTTTCATTAATTCCTGAACTCTTTAAGGTTGATGAAAATGGAAACGCGTATAAAGCAAAATCGACTCAAAACTTGATTCCAAGCAAAATTATTATTTACTGCGAAGAAGTTAGCCCAACGCACATAAATACCTTCGTTTGTGTAACTTTTGTAGTTTGCTAAAAAGAAGAAGATATGAAAGAACAAATAAATTCTTACTTAAGTGAACTGAAAAAAGAATTTTTTTTAAATTTTTTTTAGGACTTCTCAGTCGCTTTTTTGGATCCAGAACCTATCTACTACTTTTCAATTTAGCTAATGTCTTTTTTTACACGATTTTTTTTTTTTTTTTTTTTGAAAAAACCTATCGCGTAAAAAGAGAATTTCCAATATTTATATATATATATATATACATATATATATATATGTATAAATATATATATATATATATATGGAGCTTCGTAGCTTTACCGACTTAGTACAAAACCTTACGGTCATTGATTGATAATAAAATAATTTGGAATATATTCAGCAAATTGTTGTATTAGAAAGTGATAAATGGTAATTTTGAAGTCATGAATCAATTAATACACAAGGGTATACCTAATATATAGACATAAATCTAATCAATCTTCATTATCACTAATCAATAAACAAGCTTGCTTACTTTCATATTAACTTCCTTATTGTTATTTATTTATTTATTTTTTTTTAATATTATTATAATGTGATTTATTATTAATTTCTTCATTTTTGGTTTTAAAACCATTTGTTTTTGTTTACGTTGTTTTTTCTAGAAAACAATATGGAGGCGCCGTTGCCTATCGTGTTTATCTTGTAGGAGTTTTTAAGCCAACAGCCCGAAAATAATGCCCCATTGTGTTAGCCTGACGAGCTAATCATTCAAATAAATAAGTAACACGCTTTGTACAATCGTGTCAACTATGGGAAATATATTAATACTATGCGTATATTAAACAAACATATATTATTTCTATAATACAAATTTTTGATAAACATGAGCGAAGTAGGAGATACACTCATTTTATCATAATATTTGCAACACTCAGAAGAAAGATTCATTGACCAATTTCTGGATCGAATTAGCCATGCTGTAGCCAGCTGTAAAGCTATGTGTTGTTGACACTTATTCTTAATAACATCTTGAAAAGATGTCAAAAAGCGCACGTCTTAGCCTGCTCAAGTGCTGGTACCGCTTGAGCGTCGAAGACGATGTAAATGACAAAGACAAACTTACTGGACTTAAAGAAATATCATCCAGGAGGATAATTATTCATTTATATGCTTTGCTACAAGTACTACCTAAACCGAGACAAAGACCACAGACACAGATATAAATAAAATATTTTCATTTCTTTTTTATTAATGAAATATATACGATTAAGTTCCCCTTTTACGCTTAAGCATATTTAATAAAAAAAAATTATAATTGAGAAAAAAAGGACAACTCCAAGTAATACCGCAGATTAACAAAAAAGAAAAAAAGAGGGGAAAAATAAGTAATCACTTTTTTTTCTTTCCCTTGCCGGACTTTGCCGCCAGCTGAACCCGTTGATATGTACGCATACTGCGTTTACGATTTTCAATTTTACGCGTGGCATTCTCGGCGTTGCGTTTTTTGATAAATTCCAAGCGCATCCGTGACTTAACAATTTGTTCGGGCGCACGAAGCTCCTTAGAGCCGCCCACACCAGCCTGCTTTTTGGCTTCAACCTTGGCATTGTGCCGAGCGTGGCGACTTACTGGATAGCGTTGTTCATGCGACAACTGTTTGAAAGGCGTATCATCGTCACTTGCAGTTTCTTTCGCCAATTGTTCTTCAATTTTCGACTTCTCTTTCCATTCGTTGTAGCGGCCGGTTTTGAATGAGCATGGAATCCAAGCTCCAGACTCTGTGCGTATTTTTCCCGCCCTAGGATCTTGCACGGCCACCATTTTTTTTTTAATGCGATCCCATTTCTTCAAGCGCCCCTTGTGGTGTACTTCATTTGTGTCGCGGTCAATGACTGAGAATTCTGCATTCATCGCTTGACGTTCAAAAGAATTTATTGCCAAACCGTCCTCAGTATGTTTATCTGCTGCCTCGTATGGTATGTAATTTTCGGCATCTCTAGTGTATACTTTTTTCTGCTTTTTGCTCTTCGCCTCCTTATACAGATGATCTGCATTCTGGCGTTTCTGCGGAGCCACTACTTTGTTAAAAACCGTGCTGATATCAAGTTCATTAGCCTCCTGCGCTGACATCTATATTTTGGATATGAATATTTAAGTTAAACTCATTCAATACATTAGACTTACCACTCCTTCCTTCTTGCTTTTAACACGTTTCACTTCCTCTTCTTTATCCAACTCCTCCATTTTTGTACGATATTTTTTTATGATATCAGTGTGCTGCGAGCGTTTTTCTTTCATGGCCATGAAAGGAGCAGACTTTTGACTCTTTTTCAATTCAAATATGGTCTGAAACAGACATAACGTTTTTTTGACATAATAAGTTTAACAAGTAGGAAATAATAGTCGACTACGGATAAGTCTTCCGATCTATTCACCATCTTTGTCTTAAAAAGCAAGCTCAAAAAAAATTAAATTTCGAGGCTCTGTGATATTGGACATGGCTGTAGCGAGTAGCGAGGAAGAAAACAATTTCCTCTACTTTTCAAAATAGAAATGTCAGTAAGTGTTATACTATGGATGTATATGTTGCACGATTTAGATAATTTTTAAAACCAACCGATATGTTTATTATTACGATCGGGGGAATGTTTATCACAGGTGTTCCCCAAACGGACACGCTTACATCGATCCAGAATTTGATATTAATCAAGAATATTTATGGTCTGCAGTGTCTCTAAAGATACCTCCTAGGGGTTGCAAACGTTTCGACAAAATAAAAACCCATCCCATTCTTCGGTGATGGATACACTTACATTCTGAGGCTTATAGTTGTGCATTTTTAAGAGTAAATCATGTTTTTGTTCTTGAAATTTACGCTCGTCCTCGGTCCTTTCTTCCCCTTTCACCGGTGCATCAGTATTTAATTTAGATGCTACGTTGAAAAAGACCTCCAAAGGTTTTAAACTATAGAATTTAATTTTCTTAACACGAGCATTAGAATCCGTTGAAGCGACTGGTCGGGAAGACAAGTACTTTTTATAAGCATTCTCGCTGGTGCGCAAGACGCCACTCTGCAATAAATGTGTTTGGAAATTATTATGCAATTCTTCATTAAGAATAGTGAAAGGCTTACAATATTGTGGTGTTTCTTAATTTCTGTAACAGTTAGATGTTCTTCTTCTAGTAGTTCCTGTGGTACGCTACCAATAGAATTACTATCATTGATATCGAAAAAGCGATTAAGGAATAAATGTAAATCAAGCAAATGAGCTAAGTCGTCGGTAGAGAATATTGAATAGGCAGTGCCGGTGCGACCTGCACGAGCACAACGTCCAACGCGATGAACAAACAGTTTCGGTTTCCCTGGGAAATGTAAATTAATAACAAAATCCAGGCTCGGTATGTCAATTCCACGAGCAGCCACATCTGTTACAACAAGAACTGAAACTTTTTTATTAACAAACTTGGCGGTATTAATTTTACGAGCTGACGGATCTAAACTAGAATAAACGGAAGTGTTGCTTATGCCATATTCAGTTAAAATCTGGAACGACCAAATAACATGCAAGTGAATATTTCAAATATTTAAATCTCATATAACTCACATACGATACAAGTTCCACGTGATGTTGGGTGCCTACGAAAACGACTGTTTGAGCCTGTTGAGATATCACATATTTCAAAAGTATAATTAAAGTGGTATATCGATCATCAGGACGACAATAAACGAATTTTAAACATAAACCTTCCGGTAATTTCGATTCAACATCCAATCGTATTAAAACAGGATCACTTAGCCCAGCACGGGCAAAATCCACTAATAACTTTGGTAATGTTGCTGAGAACATGACAATTTGCTTGCTAGCAGATAAACGATGTAATATTTCATTTAATTGCTGACCAAAACCCATCTCAAATAAACGATCAGCTTCATCGAAAACCACATATTCTACCATGCGAATCTTGTTTTAGGGTAAAGTTTTTTTTTTCTTCGATATAGACTTACCTATGGCCGTTAATTTTAAATCCATTTCTATGCATAGATGCAAAAATCTACCTGGCGTTGCTACTATAATATCCGGACATGTATGTATGGCAGAGAATTGGGAATCCATTGAATCACCACCTAATACCAATATAGTTTTTAATTCCAAAAATTTGCCCAGTTCTTTAATGAATTTGTATGTTTGCACTGCCAACTCTCGAGTAGGAGATAAAATGAGAGCTCTAGCTCCTTTGGTAGGATCACGACGTTTTAAACGTTCAAACATTGGTATAAGAAAACAAGCGCTCTTCCCTGAACCAGTTTTTGCCATTGCCACTACGTCACGTCCTTCAAGTATCAATGGTATTGTCTTGCGTTGTATGGGTGTAGGTACCTTATAACCACGTTTAGTTATACCCTTTAATAATTCATAACTTAGACCCATCGACTGAAAGCCACCGCTTTTCTTAGCTTTAGCAGATGCAGTGGATTTTAGTAAGTTATTGTTTTCCCTGCCGCCGCTGTTCAACGATGGAAAGCCGGGTAAATCATCAACTCTGACTTTGGCCTAAATATAAAGAACATGACGTTAAAATGTTTCTTAACTTTTAAATCTAATTTACCATTTTTTAGACTTTTTTCATTGCTTTTCCTTTAAATCCAATCCGTTTAGAAAGTTCATTTACGCATAAGTAAAAAAGCGTAGAAAAATTTTTTATTCAAAATCTATTAATAACACGTGTAGTAGCTGATTTATTCTTCTTCTTCTTCTTGAATATTCAGCGAGCCAATAACAGATGATTCAACATGTAATAAAACAAAGCATAGTGTCCGGGGGTTCTTTGTCCATGCCGCCTGGGCCTTAATAGCATTGACGATTCATTTAAATTGTTGATTAGAATTAGATTCTTATGTTTATTTGTTGACGTCAGTAAGCGTTTCTAAAGTTTTTGTTCGCCACGATTATTTTTATTGTTATTATTTTTGGTGTTATTATTGCTTTTATGATGCAATGATGTTATTAGTGAAAAAGTAAGTTATGTTTAGAGGACCATTTTTTTTTTTTAATTATTATTTTTAGATATTTTTCTTTATCTTTGATATCGTTCATTTTATTATCATTATAATTATAATTATTGATAACACTTTTTTTTCTTTTGAAGAAGCGTTAGTTTGGGCAACCTATTAAACAGTAACAGAAGTTGGTAGAGTTGCGGTGTTGTGAACGAAGTTAACGAATTACAATGGTTGGCTGTATAAAAACTAGGAGGCCTGAAAAAAGGAGGCGCTATTCCTGTTTTGCTGATTTTTTACAAAAGTTTATGTGAATTAACAAATCATTTCGTATAGTTTTGACATGCACATTTTTTCAAATTATGTGATTTGTACAATTTTGGTTTTTAGCATGTATTATTTTGTAAGAAATAAAAAGAGCACTTATTTCAAAGTTGAAACTGTTTTATTAGAAAGTCATAAAAGATAATTTGCATATTATGGATCAATCAATAGAAGGGCTCTCAATGGCGTTATAAAATTTAAACAGATTATGAAGATTAACAAAACCGTTTTGTTGGTTATGTTTATGTTGATTTCTTTACTTATCGTTCCAAAATCATATGTTTTTGTTACCACTTTCCTGTAAAGCTGTTTTGTACAGCTGTTCATTGCGACTACCACAGCTACGACACGCTTAGCCGCGCCCACTCCGTGTTACAGAGCATGAAAGTTCAGTTCTTTTGCTTCTTTTATCTTTTTTTTTTTTAATAAATGGTGATGGGCATAAAAGATCCCAGTCTTGGATTTTATGTTCTTACTTGTTTTTTTTCTCTACTTCTCCTTATATACTTGGTATTA